GGTGAGCTAGCTACGGCCATTCTACATAAGACATGCTGATAGACTGAGGAGGTCATATGATGGGGCTGATATTTGGTACAGGAAAGCCAGCAACTTGAAAAATGGTGAGAATTCCTAAACGTGCTGGCGCATATCCCATTTTGACTCACTTTGGCCAATGGGTATTCCAGATGCGTGTCAAAGAAGATGGAAATTGAAGCATATCTGGACAAACAGGATCCTGTGTCCCCAAATCCAACTAACAGCCAAAGGATGATAGTGGAAAGACGAGGGGACAACCATCAAGTGCTAATAGGTTTTAGTGACTGCAGGAAGACTTTTGGATCAGTAAGTCACATAAAGCTCTCCACCAAGAAAGAGACCTTTGCACAGTTGTTTGTAGGGATGCTATCAAATCTCAGAACCCTAAAATTATACCTGCCATCTGTGTGTTGTTTTGTTTCTTCCTGTCTATTCAATTCTTGCTAGCTGATACAATATGGAATGGTACAAGGTACCAGCCCGGAGAGCACTTTAGAGCGCTGGAGCATTGTCTGATTCCAATAATCTGTCTTCTCATAAGCCAGACCAGCAAGGCATCATTAAGATTTTTTTTTTAATTTGGCCGTCATTTTCACTTAGTAAGTGTAAAAAGGAGTGAGTAGATGACCACTGCATGAGCAAATCCTCCAAGTGGTTCCACGGGGCAGACCACTGCATGGAGCACATTGCGCATAGCTAGTTGCAAGATCAGCACCTTTATCTGGAACAAAGCATGTGCTACTGGAGAGACCACCAGGAGGAATATCACAGGCACCTCTCAATTGAAGGAAGTTCCAGGAGAGCAAAGAGGACCTCCCACCCCCTCCCCCCCCCAAAGATAGTGGTTGGATCGTCCTGAAAAGACGAACTGGTAAAATACAAAGTGAATAAACATGAACAGAGAGCATCATAGTGCCAAAGGGCAGGTTCTCCCACAGTTGAGGAGAGCATGTGAAATGTGCTGAGTCCAGGAATTCTGTAGGCCTGATCCTGGAATCAGAACTATCTTGGCTAATCCTGCTTGCGCTCCATAGAAGCTGAATCTACTCAACACCTCTTGGAATCTAACCTCTGTGGCTGATGCTATAAATAATTCACCTGGACTGTCTGCCTTAGAAATGACGGGACGACAGCAGCGACCCTGAGTCTGGGTAGACCAGTATCAATAAATAGGAGATTATTGATGACCCGCACCTGGCGTGTGCCTTACGTCGTATGTAAGCATGTAGTAAAGTTCCACACTAAACACCACAGAGGATGGCTTGATTTCGCCTTCACAAAATGTGTCCCTGGCAGGTAAACCAAAGTGGGTTAAATATTATCTCTTCTTTATTGAACGCAAACTGTATACTTATACATGGGGCCTAGGGAGGGTCCCTAACGACTGTAAAAACAAAGGCTGATTCTTTTGGATAACTGGCCACCGTTGACGATAGAATTCATGTTGTAAAAATCTGACACCTCCTCCCCCGAATCTAAAGGAGATGGGGGTGGGGCTAACTAACCTCATTTAACCTAAATCAGAACTTGTTCTGGTTTTTAAATTTGCATCTTCAGACAGAATGAACTTGGTTAGATCCTAGGGTTAAAATCCTAGCCCGGTGGAAGTCAAAGTAAGTTTTGCCATTGACTTCAATTGATTTCATCCTGGACCTCTTTTTTTTGGTTAATTTCTAGATCTAGGGTCAGCAAAAACTGTGCTGGCCTTTCATGGCAGTGGAAACATGCTGCTGTGGGCCAGCTGAAATACTTCACAGGTGCAACAAGTTCTGGGGACTCAGTTATAAAGCCGTTGTCTACCAACCTGGTTACAACGCGATGCCATTTTGCTTTCACTCACTACTTGAAATGGGGAAAGTCTCACTGACTTCAGTGAGGGTTTTGCCTGAGTAAGAATGGCAGGATTGGGCCCATTATCAGCACCAGACGGAGGACTGCAAAATGCAAAATTATAACAAAAGGTTGCACGGTACTGGGGTTGCATTCCCCCCCCCTCCACCCCAGTTTATCTCATTTCTGCATTAATTCCTTACATGGCCGGTGCCCTCCCTGTCAAAGCCCTATTGATTATACAAAAGGCATGTTCTTCCCCTGCGGAAAACCTTGACTATAGTCCTTAAAAGTGAGGTTAAATAATTAACGTTGGCACTTTTGTTTCACCTTTTTAGTAAACCTAGGGGAAGCTTGGTAAGTGTTGGGTCAATATATCCCCAGACAGGACACACAGATTGCTGTTTGGACATATCTTTTGTTAAGAATCATTGATTTTTTTTTTCCCACTGCAAACCATAATATTGAGAGGGAGAGAGCATCCAAACATTTGTTTTAATATCTTCTTTACTGCCTGTGATTTCTAATACATTCTTAGAAACCTGGAAATCATTAACCCTATGTAGCTGTTTTCATGTGGCAGGAGACTGGGGGCTTGATTCTCCTTTGTTACAGACTAGAGTAATGGGCCAGACCCCAACTGGACTGAAGTGATGTAATTCCATTAAAGTCAATGAAGCTACATTGATTTACAGCATCTTAGAATCTGGCACAATAGTGTTACATTAGTGTAAAACTACAGAAAAATCAGGCTCTGGGTTTTTTCATCCCTGTGTTTTGAATGGAGTTGAAATTAATACGCCTTTTGTTTTCTTTAAGAGCAAATTTAACCTATGTCTCTTGTTATCTTGCCCAAATAATCCTTGTGCTTTGGCATCATTGCTAATACCACCGTCACCACCCTGGAAACCACCAAGTAAATGTTCCTGCAGCATTTCAAAGTGGAGTAAAATAGGTGTTCCTGTAGGGCCTATAGTAACTTTAAAAACAAACATTCCCAGAGATGAAGTGGTAGATTTTAATTTAAAAGCAGGTATTTGGAACATGGAGAATCCCTCCCTCCCCCCGCCCCTTATGGTTTATTTTAAGTAGGTCTGACCCATGCATGAATGCATTTAAAAGGTAGTTTAGCCCTCGCTCACATTGGCTGGTCAAGCAATGTTCTACATTTTTTTTTTTGCTGTAACCACATGTAAGGTTGTTGTTTTTTTTAATATAATTGTATGGCATTGAAATCTTAAAATGAGGTCTAGTGGTGAAAGCACAGGACTGTGAGTCAGAAGATATCTGGTTTCTATTCTAGGTTGGACCATTGCACTGCAACCTCTGTGTGCCTCGTTTTTCCCCTCTGTGCAATGGGGATAATAATAATAATCTCACAAGAGTGTTAAGAGAATTTCTTAATGGTTGAAGCAAAGCATTATTATTAATTATGGTTCTATTCTGCTATCGTAGGTATTACCAGGAGAGGTCATGGGAATTTAATCTCATCTATTTGTAGCCACTCGCTGCTTAACCGCAGCTTGCTAGAATATTGCGAGCAGCCCAGATGTGAAGAGCTTTGGCAGATCGAGCAAGTGACATATTTGAAAAGGCCGCAAGAAGGGAAACATTTGAAGATTCGTCTCATTTGCACAGTTTGCGGGCACAATGAATGCATCAAAGACTAGAAAGACTCTTAATATTAATAATAAATTAGTATGTATTTGTGTCGTGGTAGCATCTATGAGCCCCAGTCATGGACCGGGCCCCTATTGTGCTAGGCGCTGTACAAGCAACAGAACAAAAAGATGGTCCCTACCCCAAAGAGTTTACAATCTAATCCCACCACCACCCAGCAAACCCTTGCTACCTACACAGAGTTTACTACTGCGAGTAGTTCCACTGAAACCTATAGTACTAATGTGCTATAGATGCCAAAGGCTGTGTCTACACCAGCCTTCATTGTGAAAAGCTTCCTACCAGTAGTAGCAATGGTGGGAGTGCTTGTGTAGACAGGGCTTCAGTTGGCAGCTATGGACTAAGCCCCATAAAATCTAAATTTGCTCTGCGTAGGTCTATGTGACAGAGTAGTTGAAAGGACTGATACTTTGTGCCACCATTAGGAAAGCTGCACCAGTGTTAGAAATGGAAAGGGTGGTGGGAAAGAGAGCTCTTTAGATAAAAGCCTAGTGTTAAAAAGTCTGAGCCTATTCATAGGAGTAATCAAGTGCTTGTAGGATTAGGCCCCTTCCAGGCTCCCTAAAAACACCCTTTGCCCTCCCCAGATTCCTCCAGTTTCCTTAGTTTGTACAGTATGTAAAATGTTCTCCTGATGGTTTTTAGGCACTGGAAAAGTTCTTACAGTGCTTGTTATTGGCAAATTCTAATATAAGCTCTCCCTCATGCCCATCAAAAAGATGTTCCTATAAACTGTTCAGATCAGTTAATTAGTCATTACTAATTAGAAACTGTTAGTTAATACGGTGATGGGCACTATAGAAAACCCTAAGACAGAGGGATAAACTGGAGAAGAGAAGACTGAGAGGGGACATATACAGTTTTCAAGTACATAAAAGGTTGTTACAAGGATGAGGGAGAAAAATTGTTCTCCTCAACCTCTGAGGATAGAATAAGAAGGATTCGGGGGAGGGATAGCTCAGTGGTTTGAGCATTGGCCTGCTAAACCCAGGGTTGTGAGTTCAATCCTTGAGGGGGCCACTTAGGGATCTGGGGCAAAATCAGTACTTGGTCCTGCTAGTGAAGGCAGGAGGCTGGACTTGATGACCTTTCAAGGTCCCTTCCAGTTCTAGGAGATGGGAGATCTCCATTAATTTAATTTTAAATTTATAACCTCTTAGATCCTAACTTGAATTTTATTTCTGCTGTTTTCTCTTACTGAGAGGCGTTTGTTTTGTAAAATGATCATTTATATTTGGGGTATCTCTGTCTTTTAAAAAGCACGGATAGCTAAAACCCTGTTATAAGTAACACCAGTAGCCAGCACCCAAGGGAACAGGATAATTCAGCAGCAGAGAATAGGTGCTGGAACTGGGGGCTCTGGGGGTACTGCCGCACCCCTTGGCTTGAAGTGCTTTCCATTATATACAGAGTTTACAGTTTGGTTCAATGGCTCTCAGCCCCCCCCCACTATACAAATTGTTCCAGCGCCCCTGCAGCAGAGGTGGTATAAATCTAAAACAATTCAAACTGCAGTTCTAAAGGTCATATTCGTGATACATTTATGGGCCTGTTTTCCTCTGGCTGCACATATAACTTCCATTAATGTTAATGAGAGTTATGCACGCAAGTCCCATGTACACTGAAAAGAGAATGCTCTATTGTCTTTATCATGCATGTAAGCTTTAGCTTGAAAATTATGGAAATATAGCTTTCCAACAGTGGAGAAGACTAAGGGCCTCTTTCTCATGTCATGTGCACCCCATGTATTGAGGTTTTGGGGTAAATTAAATGAGAACTGTGTAATATGTCTGTCATTCAAATGACATGGAATTGTTCTTCTCTGGAAAAACTAGTGCATCTCAGGTCAGACAAGCAAGGTGGTGGCAGTGGGATATACACGGTCCATTGGGGTGGGGAATCCTTGATGTCTTGCACCAAAATGAGTGAGCAACCAAAGTTACAGGCACTGTAATTTTCCAGAAGAACTATATTTTGTGCAAATCTAAATTTGCAAGTCAGGGCTTGCTGTGGGCATCTCGTAACATATGTTTTAACGTTGGGTTTGGTTCATTTCCCCCCATCTATGCAACTGACAATAGACTCATTAAAAGCACACTAGAAATGCTAAAATCACTGCTTATTATTCCAGATGTAACTTTAGACAACAACAAAAATTCCATGGATTTAAGCAATGTGCCGCCATTGTCCTTTCATTACACAAATACGTACCTAACATCAGAATACAGAGCAGCTTATATGAAACTGTTTCCCGTTACTAAAGAATGCACTGTTTGGTACAGATTAAAGACTAAGGCCTCGTTTACAGGGGCACAGCTATGCTGCTCTAACCCCACAGTGTAGATGGAGACTACGGTGACAGAAGGGCTTTTTCCATCTCTGTAGGAACGCCCGCTACCTCGCCCCGAGCTATAGTAGCCAGGTTGACAGAAGCATTCTTCCATCAACCAAGCTGCGCCCACAGCAGGCATTATGTCTGCAGAGCTGTGATGCTCCCAGATGGCACATAGCTATGGTGCACATCCCGGAGAAACATACCTATGTCTTTCCATTGATTTTTAATGGGCTTTGAACCTGGCCCGTAGGCTCTTGGTGTTCCATCATGACTACATAAGGAGCAAATCTTGAAATCTGTGCTAAACTGCAACAAACCCATTTTAGATCTCAATGTAGCCAACCACTGGGTGCCATTGGGCAAGTCACTTTATCTCTTGTCTCAGTCATCCCATCTGTAAAATAGGGATAATGACTCTGACCTCCTTTGTAAAGCTCTTTGAGATCTATGAATGAAAAGTGCTATCTGAGCTAAGGTTTGGTAGGTTCGCTTTTTTGTTTGTTTTTTAAATGACAGAGATGGATTTTCTACAGGACTGATCCCTTTACACTATTTCTAATGGTTGGGCCAGCCTCGTTTTAAACACCTCAAGCAATGGGGGAACGTTAGCACAATGCTACATTCTAAACTTCCAGAGGACAGAAGAACGAGCCAAATAGGTTGGCGATAACCTTCATAAGAAACATCATTCACCTCAGTAGAAAAACTTTTTAAAATGTGGATGAACATGGTTGGAATAATACAAATACTTTTTTCTTCGTGTTTTGGTGTCTTGTGTAATCCAAAAGAAGTCAAGCCTTTGATCTTCTCTTGGCAATATTTTTCTTTTTTAAATCTAGGATTTTACAGTTTGAGAAGAGATGCGGTGTACTCACAACAGAGGCTATCAATAGGACATGAGTCTGAACAAAAACAAAAATTGGTGTCAGGTTCTCCATTTGGAGTGTTACCTTCAGCTTTGAAGTTTGTAATGATTCAAAAGCATCTAGAGCTGCTACAAATGTTAATAAAATTAAAGCCATCTGAAAGTGAGGCTTGCATGGGCCTTTGAAAGCAGGTCTGTGATCAGTTATTACCCTCAATTACCTTGTTGTCCACTCTTTTAGCTTGAGGTTAAACTCTTAACACCTCTCTTTGAAGTGGTTATCCTTTTATCTATGACCAGACTGAGGAATTTTAAGGGCAATAATCAATGAGAGCTTCATGAGAATAGGAGAGACAAGGCAAAAGAAAATAGAAAATAGGTGTGAATGTCTCTTTAACAGCTGGCTGGAGTTTTTGGGGGGAGTAGAGGGGTGGACATTGTTCTCTGAGATATGATTCTTTTTTTTTTTTTTATAAAGGGGGCCCAGCAATTTCCAAATCACCACTAAAAATAAAGCAAAAGCAATAATTGGGGGGAGAACAGAGGTGAAGACCTCATCAAAGGAAAGGGGGGGAAAGTAATGAAGCACAAAGATACAATTAAAGTATTGGCTTAATCAGGGCTTTGATGTCCGACATGGTACATAATTCTGTTAAAGGGGGCAGAGAGAACAGAGAGTGCAGTCTGATTCTCCACTCACTCACAGCAGTTTAAGGGCCCAATTCACCAGCACATCTTTATTCAGCAAGGCACTTAAGGAAGTGCTTGGGTCCCAATGACAAATAAAATGCTTTGCTGAAGAGAAATGGACTTAAGCGTACAAGCTTTACTGAACAGGGGCCTCAATAAGGAGTAACAACTGAAAACGATGAAGTTACAGCAGTGATCTTTCTGAAGTGAATCATTGGAGCATCAAGCTATTGAGACAACAGGAAACAGCATGAGGAAGAAGAACAGGAGTACTTGTGGCACCTTAGAGACTAACAAATTTATTAGAGCATAAGCTTTCGTGGACT